TGGCCAGAGATGGTTTAAGTGAATAGTTCTAATTTGTTTTCATTTTCCCCCTCCCCTGAGTCCCACCCCACTCCTTTTTTACTAATAGCCCCTTAATGTTCTTGTTTCTCCACTCCCCTATACTCAGTTCATGTGGTTCGTGTGGGCCTGAACCTCCTCCACTCTGGGCACAAGATCCAAACCCAGCTCATCTGTAGGCTCCGTCCGTCCTCTGTGCAGGGACTGGCTGATGAGCTAGTCCAATGAAGATGGGCAATGCTGGCCGTGATGCTGGACCACTGATACAGAGCCATGTCTCCAGCCTGTGGTGCTCACTGCGGGGACACAGCCCTGAAGGTCAGGGCCCTGCCTCCAGGAGCAGAGAGTCAGGGGAGAACGCAGCCCCCAGAACAGCAGAGGCAGGTGATGGAGGGCACCCTTGGAGGTCTGACCTTGTGAGAAACTCTGAGGGAGCTGAAAGAGTTCTCAGAAGTTCTTTACCCAAAGCTCATTGTCGTCGGACTGGAACCAACTCCCAGTTTCCATTTCAATGGGTTTTCAGAGGCTGTAAATCTCATAGGAGAAGACTGCTCATTTTCCTCCTTGGAGCAGCTAGTGGATTCGAACTGCTTGCCTTTAGGTGGGCAGCAGACCTCTTTACTCACTCGGCCACCAGAGTTCCTTTAGCAATTCTTCAGTGAAGAGAAATCACTGGGTGAGCCCATGAGACGTCTTCTATAGATATGGCTTCTTCTATAGACTTAACTACATAGGAAATATAGGGGTGAGGTGGCCACAATTCAATCTTTGACAGAGAGGGATCCTCTCTCTATAATGAAGGAGCGGAGCGTGGACGAAATGGCCCTTCTCTTCAGAGGCCAGCTAGGCCTTTCCAGCCTTCTGACTCTTAGAAAATTCTATAGAACTTGGCCTTTCTGAGAGTCTCCGCATGACAGCCTCACACTTCCACCTGCTCACTGTCTGCAGGTCCCTAGCGAGGTTCTCCAGCATCGACGCTAATGGCCCTCTATTCATGGCTTGTGGCATTAGATGGATGGCACACAGATCAATGAAAAGCAAGGCCCACTGTCCTTCCCCTTAGTCACCAGCTTGTAAGGGGCCAGGAGGACGAGGCAGCCATCTTTATGAGCAGGACACCCACACACCCTAGCAGGACAAACTTGTTCCAGGAAGGTTCTCCCCAAAGACTCCTCTGGACCTCTTTCTGGAATACGGTCACCCACTCCCTCAAGCACACGCATTTTGGAGGGGCAGGTGACCTGCAATCCAGTCTCTGAATGAGAGGATCAAACCTACACAGACCCCCAGAAGTTCACCTCCACCAGGATCTAGGGTTCCCTCCCAAGAAGCAGAGACAGGACTCTGAAGTTGACGCAGGTGCCAGCCAGCTCCCACCCCAGCTGCCAAACTTGGGGGTGGTTACCCTGTCTGGACTTCCACGTCCTGCATCACACAGGAGGAGGGTGTTTCCCTCACAGCGTGAGACTCAGATTACATCATGAGGGACACGACCTGGAGAAGTGCCTGGTGACAGACTGCGCACTGACATGTCCTGAACTCCTACGGTGAGCACCTCAGGAATACTCACAGAAACCCCCCGAGTCAGAATTGATGACATGGCAAGGAGCTTGGCTTGGCTACGGCTCCCAGGGTCACGTAAGCAGTGACTGGGCTTGGTTTCTCATCCAAAGGCTGGAGCAAGAATCCACGCAGACTTGAATGAGAAGAAAGACTTGGTGGGCTCTGTTTGAAGAGATCCACTCTGTGGAGCACAGTCCTCCCACGGCACAGGGGGAGCCTCGAGAGGTTGGGCTCAATTTGACGGGGCGTGGTCTGATTTGACAGGTACTTGTATGTAAGTGTTGATGTTATTCCTATCTTACAAAAGAAGAAAAGAAGGCACATAGAAGACAGGTCCAAGGCCATGCCCTGACACATGTTAGCCCAGGATTTTGACCCAGGTCATGTGACTCCAGAGATAACATGCTCTAGCCCAGGTTCAAGGCCATGCCCTGACAAATGTTAGCCCAGGATGTGGATTCAGGTCATGTGACTCCAGAGACAACACGCTCTATCCCAGCTCCTGAGCTCACATGATCGCTGCTCTACCCTTCCCTTTCCTCCCCTCCCCTCCGTCCCTTCCCCTCCTCTCCTCTCTCTTCCCATCTCCTTCCTTCCCCTCCTCCCCTCCTCTCTCTTCTCGGCTCCTTCCCTTCTCTCCCCTCCCCACCTCTCCTCATGGATATCTTGGGTACCTCATATCCATTCTATTTTCTGCAATACCAATGATGGTTAGCACTCAGAGAACTGGATATGATCAATTTTGCAGTGGCCTGGAAATCCCCTCCATCTATTTTTGTAGCCCAAGCAGGACCTCACAAAAATCCACAGTACAAGATGAACTTCTGCTCCACTCAGACACCCCCAGAGAGAATCTCGCACCTTGCCCTGTGACCTATATTCTGAAGTTCAAGTGCATAAATATCCAAGTTGAAACCGAGGAAAACTACTCTTGTTAAGAACGTAAAGGGTGGACTTTGAGAGGTCAGAGCGCCTAAACTTTTAAGTGTCAATAAAGGATTTTAAGATTGCAATATTCTAGAGTATTGCTCTACAGCTACGGTGGAATAAAACATGAAATCAATTAACAGAAGAAAAGTTATGGAGTTCATAAAAAAGTGGAAATATGGGTCAAAGAAGAAATTGGAAGGAGAACTGGGAAATATTTTAAAGAACAATTATTTCCAAACTTTTGGGTATAGCTAAAGCATAGCTAAGAACGGGGAGTTCATGACTATGATGGCTTAGATGTCAAAGGTTACAACCCAATAACCCACTTTCCACAGTAGGCACCAAAAATAACAATGGTGAATGCCCTTTGGGGATGACGTCTACATTGGGAGGCAGATCCTAACGATTGTGGCAAGCTTTTGAGAGTATGTACAAACTACTGAATCGTACACTTTGAAAGGATGAATTTTATAATACGTGTATTTTATCTTAATTAAAAAGATGACTATATAAAAGAGAATGGGTATATGGATAGATAGAAAGAGGACCAGATGAGTGGATGAGCTGTGGATGGACAGCTGGGGGCTTACTGAATGGAAAATTGTCCAGCTAGAGAGTACCTGAGAGATGGAGGAACGGATTCTTGGTGGGTGGATGGTTGCTGGCAAACTGACAGACTGACTGAGGGTTTGAGTGCTGGATGGATGGAAGAATGGGAACAGGGGCAGGTAGAGGGATTGAGGGTTTTACAGATTGTTGCAGAAAACGGATAAATGGAAAGCTAATGAAAGCTCCAGGAAAAGAACACACATTTCTAATGGTTCTAGAGGATGCAAACAGGTTGGGAGCGTTACACACGGAGCACAAGAAGCTCCCATGGATTAAACGCTGTCCTCGCACTGATCCTTAGACAAAGAGATAGCGCATGGCAAAGTCGAAGGCCAAGGAAAGAGAGGCAGATTCCCAGTGAGATGGCCGGATGCAGCCTCAGCAATGGGATTGTGCAGAGCAGTGGCTGTGGGGATGGCAACACGTCTGACTTAAGTCACAGTGTCTTCAATTGCCTCATACACAGGCAAAAGCCGGGATATTATTAATAAGAAAAGCAAAAAAGAACTGGAGCCTTTGAATGTTGGTGTTGGCAAAGAACACGGAACATCAGGGCTGCCAGAACTAGTAACCCGTCGTGGAGGAAGTTCAGCTGAAAGGCGTCTCAGAAGTAAGGCTGGTGACAGTTCACCATGCATAGTTTGATCATGTTATCAGGAGGTGTTACTGATCTCTGGAGAAAGACAGAAAGGAGGAGGCCAGTTAAAAAGACAACGACAGCTAAGGGAGTGCATTAACACAGTGGTTGCAGTAATGGGCTCAACACACTAACGACTGGGAGGCTGGAGAAGGACCGGGCTGCATGTCAGTACGTCGTGCATAGGTTTGCTCTAGGCTGGGATTGGCTTGAAAGCATCTAACAATATGGGCTCAATAAATAATTGTTAAATGAATGCGTAAGTATCTCTGTTCTTTGTAAGAAGGAATAACAGACCCCTTCGTGCCCTACAGTTCGGACAAAAGATTATTCTCGGAACAGAATACATTTTCAAGTATTTTGTGCAATCTCTTCATTATATCTGAAATTCAGCTGAGGAAAAAGGGAAGAAAATCGGGAAGACAGGCCTGACGGAAGGCGCCAGAAACGGGAAACAAAGCCCCGACCTGATCCCAATGACCACAGAACTTGGTGGCACAAATGGTGAAGTGCTGTTACTAACTGAAAGGTGTGAGGTTTGAATCCACCCAGAGATGCCTCAGAAGAAATGGCTGCAGATTGACAACTGAAAAACCAGCCATTAAACCTAATGGAGCACAGTTCTCCCTGACACACGTGGGGTCACTATGGATAATGACTTAACTCAGTGGGAACTGGTTTTCAAGGAGGCGGGAGACGGAAGAGCTGCTGGGAACCTGGACGAGTAGAGGCCCCGAGCTAAGCTTCATCTCTGCATGAGAAGTGGGCGTGGAGGAGGGCGGACAGAGGCCATGGCTCCTCTGACGTCCCGGTGTTCTCCCTGCAGGGAGAGCTAGCTCCCCTATTCTCTGGGGTGGGTGCCAACCTCATGGTCCCAGTCACAGCAGCCCTACTTTGCCCAGCCAGGCTCCGACTGCTAAGGGGACCAGAATGATCCCACAAGCTGCCCTTCGAGCTGGGCCTCTCTCTGGTTCAAGGCCCCACCAGTGCTCTGAGGTACCACAACTGGCCTCCTTCCCTGCTTGGCTGCAGCAGGATCCTTCCATGATTGGGCCTTGGGGTGTTTTGAAGCCTGAGACAGAGAGAAAGGCAACAGGCAGGCTTTCTCCTGCTTCCTGCACAGAGCTGGGGGAGGCGGGCTGTGTGGGCGGTGAGCAGAGGGGACCAAGCTGGCAGCGCAGATGTGACAAGGAGGACAGAGAGGCCCAGCAGCGACAGCCTGTGGGAGGAGTGTCAGACTGACCAGCGGCTGGTGTGCAGCCTGCTGTCCAGCCGTCGTGCCCTGTCTCCCCGCGGTGCCTGCTGTCTCCCTGTGGTGCCCGCTGACCGGTCGTGGTGCCCACTGCCCGGCCGTGGTGCCCGTTGTCTGGCCGTGGTACCCGCTGTCCGGCCGTGGTGACCGCTGTCCAGCCGTGGTGACCGCTGTCCAGACGTGGTGACTGCTGTATCCCCATGGTGACTGCTGTCCAGCAATGGTGCCCGCTGTCCAGCCATGGTGCCCGCTGTCCGGCCGTGGTGCCCACTGTCTCCCCGTGGTGCCCGCTGTCTCCCCGTGGTGGCTACTGTCCTGCCGTGGTGCCCACTGTCCAGCCATGGTGACTGCTGTCTCCCCGTGGTGCCCGCTGTCTGGCCTGCCCCTCGGTGTATAGGCTGCTGCTTGGTGTCCCCGTGAGGCCCAATGTCCAGCCTGCCGCTCGCTGTCTGGCTATGGTACTCAAGTGTCCAGCTATGATGCCTGCTGTCCGGCCATGGTGCCTGCTGCCTGGCCTGCCCCTCGTTGTCTAGCCTCCTGCTCAGTGTCCCTGTGACACCCAGATTTCAGCCCGCCACTCCTGCTGCCCAGTGCCCACCCTGCAGCTGCACAGTGTCCTGGTGCCAGTGCCGACACGTGGCTTGGCTTTAATCTTGGCCACAAATGACACCTTCCATGTGTGAACAGGGACGGGGCAGGTGGGCTGCGTGGGGCCCTCGTCTTGGGTGTAAGACAAGAGTTTACAGCCGTGTTATTCATGAGAGCCATGAAGCGGTTGCCGCCGTGAGGTGCTGCTGGGTTGGTTCCGACCCGGGGTGAGTGGGGTGTGTCGAGTGCACTGCTCCCCAGGGTTTCGGGCCGGTGACCTTTCAGAAGCAGAAAGCCAGGCCTGTTCTGGGTGGGTCTGGGCCACCAACCTTTGGGTCAATAGTTGGTGATCAACCAACTCTCCCCCCTGTCCCCCCGCCGCCCTGGGACTTCACTGTATGGTTGCTGTTGTTAAGTGCCACCAAGTCAGCTCCGACTCGTAGTGACCCTGTGTGAACACAGGAAGTCCCGGCCAGTCTGACCCCATCTCACGGTGTCTGGTGGCCTTGAGCCTGTCTCTGCAGTCACTGGGACAATGCACCTCGTTGAAGGGCTTCCTCTCTTCTGATGACCCTTCACTTTTCTAAGCCTCATTCTCCTTCCCTGGGACTGGCCCTCCTGATACTCTGTCCGGTATATGAGACAAAGTGTAACTGTCCTCGCTTCTAAGCAGAAGGCTGCTTGTACTTCTTCCAAAACAGATTTGCTTTTTCTTCTGGCAGTCCACGGGACGGTCAACGATCTTCAACAACACAATGTTAAGGTATTACGTTTTTTTCTGGTCTTCTTATCCAACATTCAATTTTCACATACATTAAAAGCAAGTGAAAATACTATGACTTGGGCCAGGAATACCACATGGATTAGACACCATCTATCTATTAAGTTGTTATGGTGTACTGTCCAGTAAGACCTGAGTCATAACTGACCCTTCTGGGGGTTTTTGCTGTTGCTGTTGTTATATGCCATCGAGTTGCTTGTGACTCATAGCGACTCTATGTACAACAGCCCTAAACTCTGCTCTGTCCTGTGCCAATCGCTCTGTCTCTGACACTCCCATCCCGATTACCCCAGTCACTGAATCAGTCCATCTCATAGAGGGCCTTGCCCTCTTGCGCTGTCCCTCTACCCTCCCAAGCATGATGTCCCTCTCCAAGGACTGGTCCCTCCTTACAAGACGTCCAAAGTATGTTAGACAGAGCCTCAGAATCTGGGGGTTTTTTAGAGGCAGTAAATAATACAGGAGGAAATTACTCATCTTTCTCTCATGGAGCAACTGGTAGATTTGAACTGCATACCTGCACAACACTAGAGTTCATGCAATAGCAGAAGAATTGATGTCACTGAGCTGAGCTGTGGTGTTGAAGGAGAGTACTGAGTATCTCACGGACTGCCAAAAGAACACACAGGTATGTCTTGGAGAAGGTACAGCCAGAGTGCTTTTTGGTGGCCAGGATGGTGAAGCGTCGCTTCAAACACTCTGGGCTTGTTGCTAGGAGAGGCTGTCCTTTGGAGAGGACATCATGCTTAGAAAGTTGAGGGATTGGCGAAGAGAGGAAGCCCCTCAACGAGACAGATTGAAACGGTGCCTGCAGCAATAGGCTCAAGCGTGTCAGAATCTGTGAAGATGGCACAGGATAGGACAAGTTCAGGGTCTGTTGTTCACAGGGTTGCTATGGGTTGTACCTGACTTGATGACACCTAACAACAACAGTACACTAGATACTTTGTGAGACAGTTAGAGATCATGAAGATGATCTATGTGAGCCCAGACTCCACAGAGCTACACCAGCTGGTGAATGGATCACAACGTGTGACGTATTCATGGAGTAGAACAATACTTGACAACAGAAGGCAACAACACACAATACAAACTACAACAGAAGACTACATATTTCATGCTTCCACTGCTGTAAAATGTCAGAATGGGGACATTTTTCCAGGTAAGTCATTGAGTGCTTGCTTTGGGCTGAGGGGTCTGGAGGAGGAGAGAGACGTCAAGAGGACGGCATTTCTCTTTGAGATGACGACAGCATTCTGGAATTGACCATTGTGACACTGGAAGACCTCTGTGAATAGCCGAGAACCACTGGCTTGGATTCTAGCAATGGGAAGAAATGCGCCGTGTGTGGATCCTATCTCAGTAACGCTGTCTCAAGGAGCCTTCGTGGCTTAGTGCATTACCTCCTGGACTGCTAACTGAAAGGTTTGTGGTTCCAAACCGCTAGCTGCCTCACAGGAGAACGGTGAGGCAATCTGCTCGTCTCAAGACTCACATAGAGCCTTAGAAATTCAGTAGAGGGCCTCCACGAGCGGGGTCGGCTGACAGCACTGGGTTTGGTTTGAAAACAAGAAAAGCAGGGGTGAAGATGCAGGTTCCACATCACAGCCCGAGTCCTGAGCTTTCTGGATGAGCAGTAAGACGGCCGACTTCCTTGCAGCAAACGTGGCCAGCATGTAAGTGCTTAGCCACTGTGTCACCAGGGCTCTTCCATGACTCCCAGAGCCACACCTAAGTTTCACTAAAGATAAACAGCAATAATCTACTACCTGGGAAATAAGCAAAGGAACGGTGCTGTCTGAAGGTGCCGTAAGTTACATAAGCATGAGGTCATCGTGTGATAGGCTGGGTCTTGGTCCACTAGCTACCGTGTCCCACAGAAAAGAGAAGCAGCAGCAGGACCAAGGAAGGATGGTCATGTGACGAGGGCGCAGAGGCCTGAAGCAAGGCATCCACGAACAAAGGGCTGCTGCATGTCCCCCGAAGCCAGGAGCGAGGCACGAACAGATTCGCCTCAGAGCCTCCGAAGGAGTCAATGTGGTCAACAGCCCGTGACTACGGACGCCTGGCCTCCAGGGCTGTGAGGGAGGACACAGCTGTTCTGACAAGCCACCCAACTTACCATACTTTGTCTCAACAGCCCTGAGAAGCCAACATGACCAGCTTAACGAGAGTCCAGCATGCTACATCTTCATTCATGGAGTTCCACCACCACCCTTCGTTCTGTCATCATTTCACCTCCGGAGGAAACATGACACCTGGCATCGGCGCCCACTTCTGTGCCAGGCACAGCTGAAGCTGGTTCACATTAATCCTGGCCTGCAGGTCACGGACACACACAGTGGTTTTCTAACAGCTGTCAGGTTAATCTTCTCAAATCAGCCCTTCTCACACGCCGCTCTCCCCACCAGGACCTTCAGGGCCTGTTTCCAGTCTTCAGAGCAAAGTGGAAACTTAGCATGACCTGAAATTCTCTCCAAAGTCTCACACATCACTACTTGCCAATCCTGAACTCTCATCACGTGGTGCAATGGTATGGCCCAACTGTTAGTGTCCACCAGAAATGTCAGAAGATCTTTGAAAGGCAGATTCCTGGACCCCTTACAACCCTGCTTAATGAAAACAGTTGGGGCAGAGCCCAGGGAATCGGCATTTAAGTGAGTTTTCTCAGTGATTCTGATGTGGTTGAGACTGAGGTAAGGAATACATTTTAAAAAGCTCTGTTTTTACACTGTAATTGATAACTGTTCTCTATGAAAGCAGAAACAAGCCAACATCCACTCCATGATGCCAATAGCCTTCGAATCAGAGAGAAATGAGCCCTCAGGGTGAAGCTGTGTTACATCTGCCAACATTACCCCAAGGAAGGCACGAGTCTCACCACCCCCACTAGCCAGTGGGCCTTCTGGAAACCAGGGCCCGGGTCAGCCCTGCTGGAGGAGTCTCTCCTGACATCCCTCTGCTCTCTGTTACCGTGAGAACTTAGTAACACAAGGCCTGGTACTCACTGCTCTCAGCTCGACAGGAGAACTAATAATAGCCCATGGGGCTTCGGAAGCTGTGCTCATCTTCAGCAAAGCAGATTGTCTCCTCTTCCTCCTGAGAATGGCTGGTGGTTTGGAACCATCAACTTTGTGGTTACTAACCAAATCTTCAACCACTGTGCCAACAAGGGCTCTTATCATAGAGGAAGGCCTCTCTACACAGCCACGGAAAAGAGGTTTGCCGTGTGTGCATTGCAGTGATGGGAAGGTCGGGTGGAAGAGGTGAGGCAAAGGAATTCAGCCCCTTGTCCACTGTACATCTGTTCTAACGGAGAACTTTCCATCTCTAAAGTGGACAGGGACAAGTACTCAGCGGCTAACCCATGGTCAGCTTCACAGAAGGGGGCCTGGGGGTCTCTTCCCATAAGGATCATGGCCCAGGAAACCTGCCTTCAGAGCTCAGTAACAGAAGCAAAGCCAGAACCTTCACCAAGGACATGGAAATGTGGGTCGAAGAAGAAACTGCAAGGGAGATAGAAAATATTTGAAGAGGAATGAAAACAAAAGTACAACATCTACAACGGTAAAAGGAGCTTAAAGGGAGTCTGCATCTGTAACTTTAAGAGGTAGTGCTCTCTTGACACATGGGGGCGCACGAGTGGGAACTGGCTTGAATCAACTCAAAGGTCCCCAACAATGACAACAACAGGACCCATGTGGTCCACCGTCTATGGGACATGGTCCCTCACATCATGCCAGACAGGCACAGAACACCTGCAGCTTCCTGAGACTTGCAACACTCAAGGGACTGCTCTGAAAAACATTTCAGCAGATTTTATTATTCAGCTTCTTTGAAGTAATCAGGGGAAATTTCAACTTGGCACTTCCA